TGTATATAAGAATAGATGAATTAATGTCATGATAAATGTTTACAATGTGGAAAAGATTAACAAAAATTTATTACCATGTCTATCACCTCCAAAACTTTTTACTCCTCTTATTTAAAATATGCTGTTTATCAACAACTTAGTGTTACACCTATCTACCAGACCACCATTCTTTCTGCTTCTAGGAGTCCAATCAGATCAGTTTGTTTCTAAGTGGGAATGTAGTATTGTGTTTCTCTGCCTGACTTACTTGATTTTTTTTTTTTTTTTTTTTTTTTTTTTTTTTTTTTTTTTTTGGCGGAACTGGGGATTGAACTCAGGCCCTTGCGCTTGCCAGGGAAGAGCCTATTCCACTGAGCCATCTCCCCATCTCTTCTGGCCTTGCTTGCTTTAATAAAATTGTCACCAGGTGAAAACATGTTACCAACAGAACCACCTTCCTTTGAAGGTTGAAGAGCATTCCCATCTGTCTATGCACATGTTTGTAATCCACTACCTGCTGATGGACATGTAGGTCAATTACACACCTTGATATTGAGAATAATGCTGCAGAGAACATAGAATTACAGATGACTTCTTGAGATCAGAGATTTCTTGATCTCAAATTCTTTGTATATGTGCCCTGAATCCAGATTGCTGGATTACACAGTCATTTTATTTTTAGATTTAAATTTATGTTTTGTTGTAGTGCTGGAGATCAAGCCAAGGCCAGTATGCTTGGTGAGTGTTCTCCTTTGGAACTATATCCCCAGCCCTTATTATTAATTTTTAGGAAGTCACATGTAATTCTCCAATATGAGTGTGCGACTTTACTCTTCCATCAACAGTGTACAACAGTTACTTTTCCTCCACACTCTTCCCAATATTTACCTTTTATCTTTCTGACAAAAGCTATTCTGATAGGTAAAAAATGGTATCTTAGACTTTATTTTTATTTCAATACTATCAGATGTACAGCTTACAAATATATTTTCAGTGACGTGCTTTGCTGCACAGAACCACTTTCTTTTGATGTAACCCAATTTTCTGTTTTTGCTTCTGCCGCCTGAGCTTCAGAGATCAACCCCCCAAACAACTGCCCAGACCAATGTCATATAGCAACTGCTCTACACACTTTGTCTCACCTGCATCCAGTTCATTGTGACATTCCCGCCTATTGGAATTTCTTGCTGTTCTCCTTTCATTTTCCACAGTCCAGGGCTCTCTTCCTTGCTCCAATATAGAAATAACACTCAGGTTAGGAAGAAAGATTCCTATTTATAGAAAGAAAGGAAAACAATATTCTGTGGCTTTTCTAGAATCCAGTTATATGTTTATGTGAAGACAGAAAATAGCCTGCATAGAGCTACAAAATGTTTCACAAAGACACTCATTAATTTTTTCCTTTAGGCTTAGGAAATGCTTTACTTGCAGACATCTAGGTCTTTCCCATGAACTACTGAATCAAAAGAACAGGGAAAGAAAAAAATGAATTGGACAATTAAGTCTGCCTGCCATAAGAGGTGATAATGTAATTAAGCGTTAATGCACTTGCCTAGCACATGCAAGCCTGAGTTTGATCCTCAGCAGAGAAAAAACAATGTCTGCCATAAGATTTCATGCATACTTAAGTATAGCCACCCAATGATGTATCAAAAATAGTCAGAAAATCTAAAGGGGAAGGCCGAAGTACAGAAGGTACACTAGAAAGCTTTGCAATTCGGTGTCAACAAAGCTTCAGCTTTGGCTAGAGACACAAAAGGGGAAACCAGACAGAAGGCAGACACAATTTCTGAAGGAAAGCCATCCTCACCCAGGGAGACCAGGGTCCTGTAGTTCTCCAACATCACCTCCCTGTACAGAGTCCTCTGAGCAGGGTCCAGGCACTCCCACTCCTCCTGGGAGAATTCTACAGCCACATCCCTGAATGTTAAGCATCCCTACAGTGAAAATCGGATGTCAGCAAGGGCCATGAGCATAGTTATGATCATCACATCAAGTAAAAAAAAAAAGCTTTAAGGAGATTCTTAACTGGAGTGAGCTAAATCCATGCTGTGACATTATGAAACAGATATCTGGTCTTCGTGTAAGTTTCCAGACATATATATATGGTCCACTTAGTGATAAAAATGCCTTCACATGCTAATAAAAGGATGGGTGGCAAGAGAACCCAGGACAGACCCTATCTTAAAACTGAGAAGTAGCTCAGTGCAATGGCCCTGAGTGGGTTCAACCCCCAGCACACAGGTGATGGGGAGAATATACAAATAATCATACGGACAAGTTTATCTCCATAAAATTATTAGACATGATGTCTAACAATTATGTTTGACCTACCAAGTAATACATACTCGATAGCTAGATGAGCTAGACCATGAATGGTGTCTTCAAAGATGAGGGTCCATAAGGCATTTTTTTTTTTTTTTTTAACAATCAGAATCTTAAAGCTACGATGGCAGCAACACAATAACTAAAGCTTGGGAAGACTTCCAAGACTAAGCACTTCACATGCACTGCACTAGCTCCTACAGTGGCATGACATCCTAGGAGAGGAGGACAGGTACAGGTTCACATCTAAATGAGAACGGGCTGTCCCACAGACACCAAACAGATCCTGCTCAGGTAAATCAGCTTAAAAATGGGAGAGGAAACACCTGCCCCCAAGTGTTTCAGGCTGGAACGGAACCTAAATAATCAGGGAAGTAACAGAGCCTCTAAAGTACATCAATAGATGACCTAAGTGAGGAAAGCTGAGGAAGTTCAAGGACAATACAGAATTTCTAACAAGGTCATTATATGTGTACACATGCAAGCATAACACATAGTATTCTCAATTCAGTAGTGTCAACTCATTAATAATGATGGTGCACAGCAAATTTAAGGTTGAAAAAAATAAGATACAATTTTAACTTCCCAAAACATAAGAACTACCCTTTATTAAACAAACAAACAACAAAACCATCTAGGCCAGGGATATACATTAGCAGTGCTGTGCCTGCCTGGCAAGCATGAGGTTGTGAGCTCAAGTCTCAGTAACCACCCTGGATCATCACCCCCCCAAAAAAAAATTAATTAAAAATAAATAAATAAATGCTAGTGGTGCATGGTGGCACACCTCATAATCCTGGTACTTGTAAGTATGAAGCCAGCTTACAGAGCATAGAAAGACCCTATCTAATGTAGAAAGACTCTATCTAACATAAAAACAAAAGAACACAAAAAACAAACAAAGTTGAGCATGGCTGACTACAAATTCAAGCTCAGCCTGGCAACTGAGTGATTTGAGAGCCCTTATTTCATAAAAAATAAAAATGAAAAAGGATCAAGGATATAGCTTGGTGTGAAGACCCTGGGTTCAATCCGAAGTGTATTAAAAAAAAAAAAATGCACATCTGAGACAGGCATGGTAGCACATGCATATAATCCCAAGACTCAGAAGACTAAGGCAGGAGGACTGCCATAAATTTAAGGCCATCTTGAGATATGTAATTAATTCAAGGCCATCTTGAACTACAAAGCAAGACCCTGTCTCAGAAACAAAAAATGCTCATCTCGATATCATTTTCTGATATTTTTCATCACTAATTTTTCATGTCTGTGACACATAGCAATTACATTCCTTATGGGTAGTTGGTACATGTATATGACACATTTAAATTTTTCTATGTCCCCTTCCCCTGTACTCTCCTCCCACCCTCAGTCTCTCAGTCCCTGTATGTACTATATCTACGAAACGTCATGCAGTTATAGGTAGCGCTTTTTAGAGGGGCTGAATCTAGGGTGTGTGATACTATGACTAAGGGTGTGAAAGTGGGATTAAGGGTGCACAATTGCTAAATTAGCACATGATTTCTTTAGTAAAGTAATGAGTGTGGTTAAGAGGAAGGACCACCCTGGGTGTGCGTGATCAAGGAAGCTTGCTGCTTGCTCCTTCTGCCGGCCCCGCCATGCCATGGACTGTTCCTCCTCTGTGATGCCCTCTGCTACCTACCCGGACTAGAAGGCAGCCTACTGTGGACTGAAACCTTTACCAATCATGAGTCAAAATTAACCTTTCCTCCTTAATCTTTGGTTGTCAGGTATTTTGCCTCAGCAACAAGAAAAGTAACTAAGATCACCCCTTTCCATTTGCAAATGAGAGTAGAATTCTCAATGCAAGCTCAGTTGATCAACTTGTGCACCTCCTTACCAGAGCTCCTAGTCTGAGTGAGGAAACCCCCACTCCCAACCACTTTTGAGGCAGGGGAAGTACAGCAAGAGAACCTCCCTGTAACACTATGACTCCTCAGAGGAGTGCCTGAGAAGGGAGGGACTCTACATTCATGAACAGACAAAGGCATTGGGTAGGGGGGCATTGCATAGAAGAAAGGCAACTAACATAAACCAGCATCTACATCGATGAGTGCATAGGCAGAAATCCAGACCCTGAATTCCTGAGGCTCCAGAAAGACAACAGGAAAGCACCTGAGTAGAAATCAGCAGGTTCTTCAGGCAGAAGACTACAAGGGAAATGTCAGAAAAGACAAAACCCAAGCAGGGGCCTGGAAGCTCTCCAGAATCTCTAGCTGGGAGGAATGGAAAGGGTCTGCCCTTAAAGGAATCTAGACATCCAGAACTGGGCAAAGCAGCTGACTGTCTTTTCTTTATAAGCATGCAGCCCCAAACCTGACTTGTATGTTTGTTTGCTTTCCTATGGTGGCACTGGGATAGAAGCCAAGGCGTACATGTGCTAGCCTTAACAACATAGTGAGATCATGTCTTAAGAAAGGTGAGAAGAATAAAGATGACCTAAGGGACTTATTCATCCTCTGTCTGGTACACCATCACTTACATCTCAGATGGGGAGAAAGGAAGAGCAAGTGCAGTTGAACCAACACTGGCTCTTAGTAGTGGATTGATGTATCCTTGGGCTAGAAAGCAGGACATCTAGTTTTTGACCCGGAATTTTCCTTGTGGTAATGGTGAAAGAGTTATTTAAATATGAGTGACTTTGAAAAAGATGAAGTGTTTTTCCCAAAGTGCCAAAGGAGGTAACCAGTGCCAAAGGAGGCAACCAAACAACCAGGCCAAATCTCTTCGGTAGTTTGGGTGGAAGACGGATCAGGCTGTTGCATTCTCTGACACAGATGCTTAAAAGAGCAAACGTGTCACCTGGGGAGAGCATTGTTTCCAGACTTGGAGAATCCCAGGTAGTACAGCTGTAAAACAAAAATGATTTAATAGCTTACCTCAAAAAAGCTACAGATGAGTAAGTCACTGCTCTATTACAGAACAGGAACACCTTGTGACTTTTTTGTGTGCCATAATTTAATGGATCTCATTCACTAGAATTCAGACCACTCATGATTAATAGGCTATTTTTGGTAGACATGCTTGATTACAGTAAAACTAGCTTGTAGGTAAATGGCTATCTTTTTTTCAAGTTTTCATAGTATTTCCAGTTCAGTGAATACTATCACTGTTTTCCCTTTCTAAATACATGGGTGGACTTGATTGATAATGTTCAACTTGTCACAAAGATGGAGACTATAATCTCAAGACCTACTGAAAGTTGGTTTTCTATTTAGATTTACATAATCAGTTATGTGGCTGTGTTTAACTACTGGGAAAAGCCTTCATTGTTTCAGAACCAAGCAAGACTTCCCTGCTTTGACTTGTGTTTATTGGTCTGTTCAAGACAGCACTTGAAGACGAGAAGGTAATGTCTATATTGTTGGTCTTAAATAGACAAATTAATTAGAATTCCTTGTATCTAAAAAGTGAAGCCTTTTATTTACTGAAAGGCATTTTAGTGTGGTATATGTGTAATACCAAATAAAGAATAGTGGATCTTTAAGTTCAGATCCTTTTAAAAGTTTGCATGATACAACTACAAGTTAGATTTTACTTCTGAATTTTTTAAGTCAGAGTGAATTATTATTCAGGACACTATTTAAAAATATAAGACTGAAACTACTGTTGACTATGTGATTGGCAGTGGTGCTTGTCAACTCACTGAAGGATTACAGTGGGGAAGTATAACACTAGCACAAATTTATACACAATCATAATACTTAAGAACAAAATCAGATTTAATTAAAAACTCAAACAAAAAAAGACAGAAAGGGGCAAAGAATTGATCTGACCATAATGATGGCCCAAAATGTTCCAAGTTTGAAAGACAGAAATCCAAGTGGGACAAATGTGAGAGATTTACAGCAAAACACATCATAATCAAACCATCAAAGGTAAGAGACATGGGCTGGAGATAAAGCTAACTGGAACAGTGCTTGCCTAGCATGTGTAAGACCCTAAATTCCAGGTCCAACACTTGGAGTGTGGGGTGGAAATCTTGAGGATATGAACAAGAAGTGATACTGTATAGCAGCATGCGCCGCTGAATATCAAATTTCTCAGCAGATCCTTTGCAGTCTACAAAAAAACTATACATGTTTGAAGTAGTACTAGAAAAACACTGTGTCTAGCAAACTTGGCTATAAAAACTGAGGAAAAACTAGAGCCCTCCAGGTAAAAGTGGAGGGAGTTCATCACAAGACCTGCCCTGCAGAAAATGCTAGAAAAAGATCTTCAAGTTGAAATGAAAGGGTGATAAATGGAGAAAGAAAAGTATACAAAAGTGCATAGATCACTTGTATCTCTAGCAGAGAATCTTCCTAAAAGCATAAAAGGAATTCTAAATCTCTATTATGAGATATCCAGTATCTCTTCATAGAAAGAGGTAATTTGTGTTACAAATAATAGGGTGTGGAAGGCAGAAATGTAATGGTGTAGACTTTTTATATGTGATTAATTCAAAACGTTTTCCACTTAGAATAATGTAAAAGGGCCTCAGTGGCACAAGCGCCTGCCTGGCAAGCACAAAGTCCTAAGTTTGATTCCCTATATCTAAATAAATAACTAATAATAATGAAATAATAATATGAACATGGCAATATGTTCT